CCTCACAAGGGGAGGTGGCCATGCTCCTGGGCCCCAGAGCCTGAAAAAGCAACAGGCAGCCCCCGCAGCCAAGGGCCAGAGGGAGCACTCCGTCTGCGTGGAGCTCGGAACCATGGGCTCGCAGCAGAGCCAGGACCAAACTTCACGCAGCATTTATCAGTGACATTACTGGCTACACTGGCCAAAAAAGCTGATTGCTGATGTTAATTTTCCTTTTATCAGTACTGATCCGATACGCAGCTGATATACCAGTGCATCTCTAATAACACGTACAGTTCAACAGTTGTTGTGCACTTCCTTGTCCACACCCTTTTTAGAAAGACTACCAACATACCCTCAATTTAAGGCTGACTAAAAATAATATGAATCTTTTAAAAAGAAAAGAAAAAAAGCACAATCATATCAACAAAACTGATATCCTAAAGCATCAGGAATAAGGCTTATTATTAAAAGTGTTATTATTTGACATGGGTACCAATGGCTGGCATTCCAATTGACACTGATCGGAAGGACAATTCTGAGCCACCTCTAAGAAATACACCTCAATTCATCCAGCACTTTTTCACCAGTCTTATGTTTTTTGTGGCATGTTGGTGTTCTTCCATCTGGGTGTTTGGCAGGTTGTTTGCTGTCCTTTCTATACTGCAAAAAGCATTTTACATTGTTTATGGTTAGCTTCAATGAGAAATTATTTTTCTATTCTGGTATCTGATACTATGATTGGTGGAAAAAAAAACTGATATCAACCCCATCCATCTCCTTCATCTCATGTACCCCATGTTTGAAAGACAGGCTGATTTTTAAACCACTAACTCTGTTACTGGTACTCTGAAGTGATCCCTTAGGGCTTCATGCAGCCTTGCAGCATCACCATGCGCACTATTTACAATGCTTGTGTCCGGCTGCTCGAACCTGAAGAACAAATAACTCCACCTCCCCTTGCCCTCTGGAAGGCAAGGCATTCCTTTGGTTTCACAATGGTTGTTCAGGACACCACAGTCTGCAACAACTCCAGATATACCGTGTACCTGATTTATGTCCCGCCTGCTCAGGAGATCTTCAGTGCCTCTTTCAGACACCTAACATCACTCTCTACCACTGCTGGGCACCTGCATGTTTCCTTGGTGTACTCAGAGGTGAAATTACTATATCTAATGGTGCAGAATTTAACTCTGACCATGTGACAACACATTCTGGGTAGCATGGGAACCTGAAGAATGTATGTCTGAATATTTATAAGAGTTTATCTAACAAAATTGCCTCTGCCAGTATGGAGTGAAGAGGTTTAACTTGGCCTGTACCACTAAACACAGTTGTATTGGAAAGATACATCAAAGGCTTTCATACCACTGCTGAAGGAAGATACCCATCAATAACCGCAAATTCATCACTTCCCTGATACAAAAGACATCTGCTGTCTTTTGTAGCACACATCTATCAACCGTGTCCCAAGATAATGGAACATCAACTTATTGACAGACTTCTAAAGTGACCACTTGAGATTGGTGATAAACTGCTTTAAAAATCCACCTGGTTGTTGCTGACTACCACAAAGTGAAAAGTGACAAGGGTTCTTCTACAGAAGTGACGCCAATTCCAAGGATTATCTGATTTCCTGACGAGAGGATGAAGAAGTTTCTCCTTGCTTATTTATGGTAGGCATTGCTGACATACTGTTGCAGATTTTAACAGACAAGCATAACAAGAAAAAATGCTACACAGCTGACCTGAATTCCACCACATTTATACATAGCTCCAAGTCCCTGTATGAATCCAAGTGGACTCCCCAGGCTCTCTCAAATATTTGTGATAAACGCCATGCTCACAGAAGGGGTTATAAACTGTATCCCTCTCTGGAGGTCATTGGAGTCTAGCCACCAGTACAATACGAAGAGAACAAGATAGTATTAGGACTTACTTTCCCTTCAGATACTTTGATGGGGGAATAAGCTGACTTGAACCAAAAATGGAATAATCTCAGGTGAAATCTGGCAAGTGGCACCATATATATACAACTGAACATATGGACTAATAATGTGAGGCAAATCCAAACTAGTGTGATTTCACTATCTTCAAGAATAACAGGAGTGAGAGAAATCAGTCCTCTGAAAGATAAGCCCTCACTGACATAGAAACTATTCTAGCCCTCATGAATGCTATTGTCTGTGATGGGGTAAGTGACCATTTTGTGTAGTTTACCAGAAGGTCTAACTGATAGGAGGAACTGCATAACCAAAGCTTGTTAAACTCTCCTATTACAATCTGCCTCTGACTAAACTATCTTCGCAATACAAACACAGATGCCCTCTTTCTTTATTGTATTATCACCATGAGTAAGCATCTTGTTTAGCCTCTTGATCTTACAGAGAGGCCAAATAGCAGAAACATATACTGGTAGTGACTGGGTACCACTGGAAATACCACCTATGAAGTAGGACATGGCCATATACTTCCTGTAAGTCAAAAAGGCACAAACTAGTCTTGAGGCAGAACTGATGGAATGAGTTACCATATTGATGCAGAGACCATGTATTATATTTGTTCAGTCTCTTCAGGTCTATGATAGGTTAAAAACTCTACTTTATTTGAAACCAAGATTTATCACAAGCAGATGGCTTCTATCCAATACTCTTTTGTATGGAGCAGTCACAGACATTAATGTCTAATCCCAATATATCAGCTGTGATCTGACCATTCAAATGAAAGAGTCAAGCAATTTCCAATAATCTTCTCTGTGTTACCCTGGAGGTTTCTCCTGAAACTCCTGTCAAATTTTGTGGATTTCTCATTTTTTGAGTACCTTTTCTGGACCCAACCTTTCCTTAGACTGCAAAAACAACCAGCCCCTGTGACAGATGAGCATATCGGTGTTAAATACCTTTCAATATTACTTTAAACTGATTTTCTACTTGTTTCAAAGTTGGGGAGAAGCTGAGCAAAGCTAAAAATGTCAGACTCCTTTTGCTAGCTCCAGTTAAGCCCTATTTAATTGGAGAGCAACTGTGGCATTAAGAATTGGGAGGATGACAAATGCTTCCATATGCTTTCTTGAATAAGCCACCATTGGTTCACTGTCCTAGGTTTCAGCTACACCCTGGGGAGGACTTTAAAGTCACCAATGGCCAATGCTGGAGCCAACCTGACTACCTCTTCAGGTAAAGACAAAGACTCCTGTGACACTGAAAGGGGTTGACAGAAACATTTTAAAACTCTCCCAGCATTCTCATAAGTATTGTCCACAGACTCAAGTGCAAGTACTTATTGATCCACTACTAGATACATGGAAAAGCAGAACCCAGCAAAATATTTTGTGATAAGGAGGTAAAACAAATAAGATGCTGGTAGGAATACAGTTGACCAGGCCATTCCATCTGTGCTCAGCATGAGACAGTAACTTCGTTTGAGTCCCTTCCCAACATTTCCGAATTGAATGGAAAGCTGGTAGCGCTATCAGATGCAGTCCTAGTACCCAAGCTATCAAGAATGAACTGGCACCTGATGTGGAAAGGATGAAAAGTAAAAAATGTAAACGTTTTTCTTGGAAGGAAAATTCTCAAAAAAAAAAAAAAAAAAAATCTGTTTTGAGAGAACCCCATCCCAAGGAACCATCTCTATCAGAAGCCAGACAGCCAGGGGAGTCTGCAAAGCTGGCAACCTGAGTATCAGAAGGTGTATGAAAAGTCATGGCACCTTTCTGTGAAGATATCTTTTAGACTGTTGAATGCACTACCATAAAACTCTTCATTTTCGATAGCCTTTCTCTGCTAAACAGATCACCAAAATACAGTAAAGCTCTGAAAACGCTCGACTGTTAAATCAATGCTAAATTCCCAGAGCAGCCTAAAATTAAGAGGACAAAACATACTTTAAAGGTACCATAGCCTCACCACACTCTCAACTGCAAGTTCTGAACCAACCCCTCAAATACCATACTGTTTTATATACTGGTACAGGTTTCCCTCGCTTTATGCTGTACATGCATTCCTGGAAAACGGTGCATAACTCAAATTTACATAAAGGAAACCTACTTTACAACATAACAAATAGGGATATGTTCCAAGACCTCGACTGTACTGACAATCCGGACCCATTTCTACCACTTTTACAAGACTATTTTGGTAATCACCAACAGCACACAGTACACACAATCACAGGCCACTATCATAATGGGGATGGCAACTACTAGGGGTGCACTTATAGAGATTTTGGGAGCCAATACCAACAGCAGATATTTAAGGAGGCATATCGGCTGATACCAGTCTGATATCTGATACAGCTGCCTCCAGGTGGTAAGTCTGTTGTGGGGGGGGAGGGGAGAGGGGCAGTGATAAATTTCCATGTATAGAATCTAATTATTGGAATGCTATCTTAAATTCACCCTCCCCTACCACTGCAGAGGTGCAGGCAGTGGCAGGGGAGCAGGTAGCATGGGGCAGACAGTGGGGGAGTCAAGCAGCCTAACCCTTGCCCCCTACCACTTACCCTCCCTGCTGCCTGCCCTCACTATCCGCATGCCTCCACCTCCTAGCACCATCTGAAATTTGTAAAGACTTACTAGCAATTAAAAAAAAATGCAAAAGTATGCATATCTTAAAATATGCATATCTTAAAATATATTTTGCAAATCACTTAAAATCATGTTTAAAAAAAGGCTTTTCCCATTTTTGCAAAGCAGAATGAATATTTTCCTGACCTAATTTCTCTGACCTTCCATTTTGCCTGAAAATGGCAGCTTACACTGAATAAATAAAGTCTTTACTTTCAGCTATTTTTCAATTTGAGGCTTGTTATTGTAATTTTTATTAAATTGTAATAAAAATTAAAATGTTTATTTATTGCTGGACACAAATCCAGTTAATTCTTAAAAACACTGAAGTTGTTTTTTACTGGAACATCTTAAGCAGGAACAAAACTCTAAAGCTATTTATTCAAATTGTGCTCTATGTATTCAGAACAGTAGTGAAAGTATTTACAATTGCTGCTAATGTAACAGAACTCACTTGTTTCAATAACATCCAATTTCTGGAAGCTCTCCAAGACATTGCCATTCAGTATTTTGGGTAAGAAATCCCGTAATTGCATCACTTCAGTTGTGAGCCTCTCCAAATCTCTTTTTTTGACTCTAACAAATTCCACTTTGGTCTCAGCCTTCTGAAACAGGAAATAGAACAAATCTTTGCTAATATACAATGATCCTTGATTTGCATTCCAGTACCAATCCCCCCAAATTCCTTTCTATGCACAAATCCATCTCCCTCCATTCAGTAACATTTTTAAATTTTATTTTGAAAGCAAAATATATCTAGGAGGTTTTTCAAACCAAGGGCCTCAGAGACAGGAACTCAATTCTAATCCCAATCATGTTGCATTATGACCGGAGGCAAAACACATTCCCTCTCTCCGTGTCAATTTCCACCTCTGAAAAGGGTTTCATTTACCTCACTGACTACACTTAAAATTAATTGGTCATTTATACAGCACTCCAAAAATATGAAGAGCTATACACACACTTAGCTTTTACCTTCTGAGAATGCCCTCTGGTTCTAGTGTAGCTTTCAGTATTTTTAAAAAAATTATTCCAAGACTTTCTAAACGTCTAGCCATCCTGTTAAATTGGGATGATTCTTTGACTGAAAATAGTTACAGTCCCTACAAAAAAATTAATTATATATATATTTTTTTAATTAAATTACATTCATTAGCCAAGCAAGCATAGAAGTGATTTCATTCTGAGTTAAGACCAGCAAAAGGTTAGGTACAGAGGAGTTGCAGCCTATTGCTATGGTATTTTTTTCAGTTCTGGAGTCTGAGTGTGAATCCTGATTTAAAAACACAATTTAAAAAAAGAAATTAACAATAAAATAAATCAGGGCTGCTGGGCAAAGGGCCTGCTATTATTTTATGTAATAACATACCAATTAAAACAGAGGTTGGTAGCCTTTTACTGCCACAGGCCAGAATTTGCAACCTGGCCACCTGTTGTAGGCCACAATTTTCCACCTTCCAAAGAACCCGAACTGCCTGCACTTACCTTCACCATTGATCCCCAGCCCCATCAGCAGTGAGGGTAAGCCCAGGCACAAAAGAGCAGCAGGGAGGGCTGTGGGGCAGTGCAATGAAGAGAGGATGGGCAGTCCAGCATAGATGCATGCCACTGTGAGCCAGGTGAGACCTTTGCAGGCTAGATCCAACCTCTGTGGGCCATAGCTAGCACACAACCAGCAACTGCAGGTTGCTGACTTCTGTGTTAGAGGAAAACAGAGTTCAATTCTCTGCTCATCTGGAGGTATTTCTCAGCTCTAAGGAATGTGCCCTGGCCATAAGGTTATACAGGCTAGCCCAGCTAAGGACACTCTTCACCCCTTCTGCAGAAGGTAAGCACCTTGCATTTTTTGCTGCACACCAGAGGTTAAGAAGAAAAGATAGGATGACTTTAGTCTAGTGATTAAGGCACTTACTTAGGAATGGGAAATCCCGTGTTCTAGTCCATGTGTCCAGTACTGTATCTACATTTTTCCCAATTGCTATTATATAAAATAAAGAAACAGTTCTAAGATAAGGAACTGGAATCCAAGAATACCAATTCCCAGATAAGTGCCTTAACCACAGATTCTTCCTCCCGCTTCAAAAACCAACTCTCTCCGTCTCTCATCTGATGAATCTAACAGTCTTGGCTGTACCATGCATAGCTTTAAGAGGAAGTAAGAGACACCAGACCCTAGCCAGACTTTTCCAGTCTGATAGACAGGGCATTCTCCTGGCACTAGAAACATGGGCTTGAAGCCCCTCAGGCTGAGAGCCTTGAACATGGGTCTCTGACTTTTTATGTAAGCGCTCTAGGTAGGCATCACTGGTTCCTCCAGAGGCCATGTTTTAAAAAAAAGAACATATTTTTCAGAGAAATCCAATCCTGTCAGTGTGTTACTGTGCCTCTTATGGGACTCAAAGTAGGCTGATGCCTAGTTTCTGGATCCAGGCTTAGATAGCAGATGGGCACCAGAATGGAAAGAATTGCACAAAGGAAAGAAACCAGGGAACTTTCTAGTGAGCACAAAGCACTAAATGTGTTTATGCATCTCCAAGAAGTGGCAGCAGCTTAAGGGAGGGCTTTCCAGATTGCAATTTTGGACTTTGGTGCCTAAACTCCCAAGTAAGACTTTTGCTGGATCTTGACCCACATCCAAGACACCCTGCTTAAGCAACAGAGTGAAAATAAAGGTATAAAAAGTAAAATTATTTACTTAGATTGTAAGCTGCTTGGGACAGAGACCAGCTACTTGTTGCAGGCTGGTACAATGCATGGGGTCAGTGGATCTGGGGATCCTAAATCCCAGCAGATAAAATTTAAATTGGCGAGATCAGGGGATGGCAACCTATGGCCCATGGGCCTGATCCAGCCCACAGAGTTACCACATCGGGTGGCCATAGGATTCAGCTGCTCTCTCCATGATGTCATGGAGACTAGTGCCAGCTGCAGGCAGGTCCTGCCCCCCGGGGCCAACCTCTGGCCCTAAGCAGGTCATTCCAGCCTGCCGCTGGATGAGATCTCTTCACGGTCAAACCTCATGAGACTGCAGGGGACTGGAGCAGAAATAAGGCTGCTGGGGTCTAAATCCAGTGGTGCTCAACGTGTTTGCCTGGCAAGCTGGTTGGGCAGTGCCCGGCCACATCTAGTGGCCCCGATCCAGTACCTGTGAAAGATGTGGCAGAGCCCCATCCAGCCACATGGAGGGGGCAGGAGGCAGCCCACCCCAATGCAGCCGTGTGAGAAAAGGTTTGACACAGCCCTGTAAGGGGGCAAGGCCAGGCCCTGATACAGCTGCGCAGGGGGAGAGGGCAGCCCGCCAGGACACGTGCCCCCTCTCCCTCAGCATGGCTCCTCCGACGGGACCGCCCCTCCCCCCCAGGCGGCGCGAGGCAGAGGGCGGTGACGTCACCATCCCCAGCGGATCTCAAAGGCCGCCGCGGGAGCTCGCGGCGTTGCAGCTGCCGCGGCCAACTGCACCCCGCGCATGCGCACTACCTGACTGTCGCCTGCGAACCCCGCGCTCCGCTTCATAGCACCAGCCTCGCCTCGCCGCCCGCCCCGCCGCCACGTGACTTTGCTTCTGCCCACCCCCAGCCGTGGTGGGCGGAGCTTGAAGTCAGCGCCTTCTACAGAGCCCATCCCCTCTGCGCGTGCGTTACTCCCCGAGCCTCGCACCACCACCACGTGACTCCGTCTCTGTCGCTCCACCCCCGTGGGCGGGGCTTGGAACGCGCGTTCTACAGAGCCCCGCCCCCTCCCTCCTTGGAGGGAGGGGGGAGTATAGTTATGGACAGGGTTAGTTCTAGCCGTGGGCTGGGGGAGTGCGTGAAGTGTTGGTTTAAACCCTAAAGCGGACCCCAAATGGGGATACAGCATCAGGGGATAAGCGCTGTGGGTTGGGAGTGAGGGGCCATGCTGAGGAAATGGGGCCAAAAATGGGCTTATGCTGAGGAAAAGTTTGGGATGCACTGCCCTAAGGAGCCTGAGGCTCCTGTCCTTTCCAGCTTGGGGGTCAGGGGTCTTGATCCAGGTGTCCTTGGGAGTCTTGTTTTTCCTGGGCCCAATGCTTCCCTGCAGCCAGGAGTTCCCCGGGTGCTTGATGGCAAGTGGTGAATGCTAGGGTGGCTGTCATAGAGGACAGTCCAGTCGTCCTCTGTCCTCTATCGACATGAAACCCGATGCCTTGAAGAGAAAAGTAGAGGACATAAAGGTGTTGGATTTCGTATCAATAGAGGAAAGAGGATGGAGTAGCAGAAAACCGGACTGTCCTCTATGATGGCCACCCTAGGTGAATCCTAGAGTCCCAGAGAAGCCAGGGATCTCCAGAGGGCATCTAGTCCAATCGCAGTCCTGTACAAGGCATGCTATACAAACCATTATCTCAACTGGACGTAATAAAATTCCCCCTATTGCTGACACAAGACAGAGCTAGTGCCCGAACCTGCCACAGCTCAAGCAGGGGAACCTCAGCAGCCAACATCCTGATTCTATGAGATGTTGTCAACAGATGCTCAAGAGAGGCCATGCCCCCCACCACCTGTACCAGCCTGACCATGGGTACAATTCATTCCTGATTCCAGATGTGGTGATGGGTCTACCCTGAGCCAAGGGGCCAGACCCTCTAGCCAGGAACCTCTGACTTTGGCCCCAGCAGGAGCATTGGCACAGCCTGTCGGCCTGTAAGCTGCCTTGACCTAGCCAATGCCATTTTGTGGAACGGGCACCACATTTGCTGCAAGGAGAGGAGCACTTAGGCAGCATAAACAACTGTTGTAGGCAAAACAAAATATAGATAGCTGTGGGATGTAGAAAAACCTAATGGAATAGGAAAGCAAAATGAGCCCAAAGATAACTCGGTCAGTAATAAGAAAGTTGAAAAAAACCCCAGAATGGGGAGTGACGGATTATGAGAAAAAAACAGCAGTCAGTCAATGGTAATGGGTGAGAGCATATAGCATGACCGCATATGGGACATACAAAAGAGGGCTGACTGTAAAAGGGTAGAAAAGCCTAAGGAAAAAAATTAAGTTTGGGAAGCTGTCACTGAGCAAGAGAAGACTATGCTGGTTGAAACCACACCCGTCCAGTGCCATGACAACACCTGGCTAGCTGAGTTGTCATGCATCGTTCAGAAAGCCTACCTAAGAATACTTTTATGGACTATTGAAGGTTGATTAATAGCTTGATAGACTGTTTGGGGATGTGTTTAAATACTGGTATTGCTTATGTGTTCAATAAATTAGGACTTGAGACCAGAATAGGGTCACCGATCATTTTATTCCATTCACACCACCCCTTAGTCAAAATTGAGTTTAATAAGCCCAGCCCCAACCCCCAGGCTTGGCTGCAGCCAGCACCCAATGCCTCTAAGGGAGGCTTAAAAATACCCTGACATGTAGCAGATAGGACATGCAGGGTGGGGAAGGGACAACAGCAAAGCCCAGACGCATGGGAAATACTCATAGTAGAACACAGGCATAGCTACACCTAGATCATCCCCAACCAATGGCTGCCCACGCTCTTCTTGAACACCTCTGGTGATGGAGAGTCCACAACTTCCCTAGACAGTCTACTCCACTGCCTCGCTGTTCTAATAGTGAAGACTTTTTCCAGATATCCAATCTAAAGTTACTTTGCTGCAACTTCAACCCATTGGTCTGCAACCTCCTCTCTTGCAGAGAGAGAAAAAGTGCTTTCCCTCTTCTTTATGGCAGCCCTTCAAATATTTGAAGACTGCTTTCATGTCCCCTCTTTAACACCTTTTCCACAAGCTGAATATGCCTGGCTCCTTTATTAGGGACCAATAAAAGTAGTTGGTCCCATAAAAAATATCGCCCTAAGGAAGCTTTGCCTGTCATGCACATTATTTTTTATGCTTTAATTGTATGCCCTCTCACTGGCCTCTTTCCACAAACAAGCCATCCCAAATTTATTCACAGGAGATTTTTTTCCCCCATTTCACTCACCGTTCCTTTTGCCTTTTCCCACCTACCCTCTCCTTCTGCAATACCACTTTGAGATAGGTAACAAATACTTCCTGCAACACTTTAGATCAGGGCTGTCCAACTGGCAGCCCATGATTCCCAAGGAGTTAAACTGCTGCCTCTAGGCTCCTGGTCTGGATGCCACTCCTGCCTTTGCTTTTAGCTGCTGCTGCCAAGAGTCCCCAGACTCCCCCCGCCTTCCTCCAGTTTCCACTGCCTGTCCTAACCCATGGGGGCAAGGTGGAATGGCACAGCTTGTAGGGCTGAGAAAGTCTGTGGCTAGAGGATACCAAGGACCACACAGCATCTACACTGGTTCGGTGCAGCAGGAGTCACTTTCTGTGCAGTAGATTTATAGATTCATAGATGTTAGGGCCGGAAGGGACCTCAATAGGTCATTGAGTCCGACCCCCTGCATAAGCAAGAAAGTGTGCTGGGTTCAGATTGTCACAACCCAAGGGTGTGATTTTGTTTGTGTGCACTTTGGCACTGCTAAATTATTTCCCGCCACAAGGAGCTTTCTTTGCAGGGTGCATTTCTTAGTTGCAAAGAGAAATGCACGGTGCAAAGGAGTTCCCTCCACCCACATGCAAATTTGTGTCCCACTATTGGCCAGTTCTAAATTATTCCCACGTGGCGGCTAGTGATTGTCTTGCCAGCCGTATAAAA